TTTTTCTATGATGACTGTGATAATAATTGGTATATTCTTTAGAAAACAATGTTTGTGTCACAGTCTGCGGAGTAGTACAGCCGGACTGCGCCAGCCATATGATACCCTATATTCCGAGCCAGGCCAATATTTTGATATTGTCTGATTATACGAAAAAAAATACTTTTTTCCAAAAATATATATTTGAACCAGTAAGGAAAGTAGTAAAGTCGGACGGTGCCGACTATATGATACCCTTCACCACTTTGGGTATATTCAATAGATGAATTCTAACAGACGCCTAATTTTTAAAGGACGAGTAGAATGAAATTAAATCCATAAACATGTCATTCTGCAACCTATACTAAATTTTTCTTTTCTACAGATATAGAGTTGCTTTTTAAAATGGGACAAAATTATGAAAATCAATTTAAAGTAAATATCAATCGGACACCCGTTGATTATGTGGATAAATATCTGATTGGTGCACCATTTACTTAAAATCGGACAAAAATATATATAAAAGCTATATCGAAATATAAACCGCTTTCATGGAAACTTGTCACAGATTAGGTTATACTAATTTCAGTATATTTTGTGCATATCAGCCACATTTCGAGTTCTTGGTGCATCATTTACTTAATATCCGTAGAAAATATATATGGCAGCTCTATCCAAATTTGAAGCGATTTCAACAAAACTTTCTCCATGCTACTTAACACACATCATTCTAGACTTTATTCAGTACGCTATGCCAAATTTCGTGCAAATTGAAAGATATATAGGGACTTTGGTACACCATTTACCTTAAATCGAACGAAAATATATATGGCAGCTATATCCAAATCTGAACCGATGTTCAGGAAACTTGACACGCATCATTCTAGACCTAATTCATTACGCTGTACCAAATTTCGTGCAAATCGAAAGATATATAGGGACTTTGGTACACCATTTACCTTAAATCGGACGAAAATATATATGGGAGCTATATCCAAATCTGAACCGATTTTCAGGAAACTTGACACACATCTTTCTAGACCTAATTCATTACGCTGTGCCAAATTTCGTGCAAATCGAAAGATATATAGGGACTTTGGTATACCATTTACCTTAAATCTGACGAAAATATATATGGGAGCTATATCCAAATCTGAACCGATTTTCAGGAAACTTGACACACATCATTCTAGACCTAATTCATTACGCTGTACCAAATTTCGTGCAAAGATATATAGGGACCGTTTACATTAAATCGGACGATAATATATATGGAAACTATATCTAAATCTGAACCGATTTTTCCCAATTTCAATAGGGTTCGTCCTGGGGCCAAATAAGTGACATATGCCAAATTTCATCCAATTCGGATTATAAATGCGACCTGTATTTTGTTTACAATTTAACATGGACAGACGGACGGACATGCATAAATCGACCTAGAAAGTGATTCTATGCATATTCTCAAAATGAACCATGTGTCTATCTCGTTTCCTTTTGCCTGTTACAAACATATGCACAAAGACATAATACCCTGTACCACAGAGTGGTGAAGGATATATAAAATCTACGCTATGAACATTTTTTTAATAGCATTTACCTTACAGTTAAATAAAAAATATCTACTACTTTGGTCGTTATCTCTTACAAATCGTATTCCCTCTATAATACAGAAAACGTATTTATCGCTTACTATTGGATTTTTCAAAAAGTAATTTCGTTTTTTCCGTCAGAGGACTTAATTACGTTCTTTCGAAACCAACTTCACACTTAAGCAGCATAACCATTATATGTCTTGAGAGCTGATATCGCAAGGCTTGTGTGCGAAATAGTTCCATTAATTCTACGCAGTAGATTTTGGTTGGTGCCCTTTTAAATATGGAAAGCAATAAGCGGCATATTCGTCATATTTTACTTTTTTACTTCAGAAAGGGTAAAAATGCTCTCTAAGCGAGAAACAAATTAACGGATGTGTATGGAGAAGGCGTGTTAACAATACGCCAGTACCAGAACTGGTTTGCAAAATTTCGATCCGGCAATGTTGATGTCGAAGATGCACCACGGTGTGGAAGACCGGTCGAAGCTGACAAAGATTCGATATTAATGCAAATCGGCGAATAACCACACTAGAGATTGTTGAGAGATTAATATATATATATATATATATTATTCGAAAACAGTCTTCCATGTTCCACAAAAAAAAAAAAAAAAAATAAATAAATAAAAAAAAGTGAAAAAGCATTAATTTCGGTCAGGCCGAAATTGGGTTACCCTCCACCATAGGTATACTGCCAGGTATTTGAAATGAAAAAGTGGACCGATATTTATAATTTTTAATAGAGATATTTGGTACCCAATAAGAACCCAATGTACCAAATTTCTGCGAATTCGGTCGAAATGCCCGCTCAAGAACCCCAAAATACCGAAAATTGGGGGGTAACCATATAGGGGGGATATCCGAAAAAATTTACCTATATTTATAATTTTTTGTGGAGAGATTTTGTGCCTAGTAAGAACTCAAAATACTAATTTACAGCCAATTCGGTGTAAAAATAAAAATTCCCCAAAATACTGAAAATTAGGAGGTACCGTTATATAGGGGGCTACAAGAAAAAGTGGACCTATATTTATAATTTTTTGTGGATACATTTACTACCCAATAAGAACCCAATGTACCAAATTTTAGTGTTCGGTTGAAAAACGCGCTCAAGAACCCCAAAATACCGAAAATTGGGGGGTACTGTTATATGGGATCTATACTTAAACGTGGACCAATATATCCCATCTTATTTTGCAAACAAAATACAAACCTATGCAAAATTTCAGCGCCCTATCTTAATTCCGTCAAAAGATAGCGTGATTACATGGTGGAGGGTATAAAAAAATGCAACTACTTTCCGAACAACCCAATAGATTATTGTCAATAAAATTGTTGATTTCAAACACAACAACTATAGCATACACCTTAAAATTATGCAAATTGAAAGCAGTTACATTTCTGAGATAATTGTAGTTTATCATTTTGAATGAGAAATTTGATAGCCTCCAAATGTCAAATGGCAACAATGTGGACGACACATTAAGGACACATTTGGCTTTCAGCGTAACCCTGTTCAATATATATGTAAATGGAAAGAGTTCAGTTCAAGTTTATTAACATTACAATTGTTGTTTCGGGCTATAAAAGTTGACAATGTCATACATTGATTGCCTAATGCAAGCATGTTGCACAAAAATCGCATAAAAATGGGACTTTGATACAATATCTCTCTCACCTATACAGAGTATATACATATATTTTAATATAAAAATCTAGCAGCAATAGGAAAACACGATTTCTAATCATAAAATAACAACAATTTTCATTTCTTGAAAGTATTTATTTATGCATTAATAACTATCCTGGCCTTTTTATCTCTCACTGATTTTCCTATATTGGAAGAAATTCTGATGCGGTGTGGTGTGAGGCATAGCATGGTTTTTGACCAAAAACTCACGCTCAAGCATCGATGTGTAAGCTTGTGACCTATCATCATACAAAATTCTTTATTGTTTTTTTCCTATGCTTTCCTGATGCCTGGCTTCGTGCAAAAGCAAATACAATATATTATTTTATACTTCTGTTTTCTGAGAACTGCTGCAATATTTATGTTGTATATATTGTCAGTGTATATAATTAATGACATGAACATACACACATTCTGAATACATATTTATTTACTCAAAATGGCATATATTATTAATAGGTTCAAAACTAATTGGATAATTTGTGGAATTTATTTTTAATTTTGTTTTATTTGTTTTATATTATTTTTTTTTTATATTTATGGTAGAAACATTTGTTATTTGTTTGTGTTTTTTTTTTTTTTTTTTGAAATTTGAATTTGTTACGTATATATTTTTTTTATTCCTATTACATATCTATTTATTTGTATTATTTTTTCCTTGTGTAGTTTCATATATTCTGTTTTTCTTTTTCTTTTTTATACTTTTTTTAATTATGCATATTTGGTCTGCCGAAATTGTTCGTTTTGAAATCACATAATTTCCATTTGTATGGTTCGTGTCCTGCATATCACATGTATACCCCGCTGTCGTTGTTGTTCACCTTTATCATCATCACTACCATATCTAATGCTATTGTGTTATACTGTACTACTGTACCTGCAACTGCAACTTTTATATTTGGCTGCATGTTATGTCGAATCCTTTATTTTATTATGTAGAATTTTGGAGAGCAAAATAAGGTTTGTTTTTTTTTTTTTTAATTTTGTATTTTTACATATTTTTGTTTTAATTTATGTTGGCGTGTTATATTATTATTATATATTTATTATTTTTTATATTATTAATTATAACAAAATATTGAAAAATATAGATTACGATTGTCAAAATGGGATATTTCTTCGAGATTTATATTGATTCCTTCATAGAGGCCTTTCTCTCCTTATAGACTAATTTGTCGTTGCAAAGACTTTTGGTTTCTTTATAGACCAATTAGTCTTTATAAAGACCGTTGGTCTTCTTTTGGGCCAATTGGTATTTATAAAGACGGTTGGCCTCCATTAAGGCCAATTGGTTTTTATAAAGACCGTTGGTTTCCATTTAGACCAATTGGTTTTTACAAAGACCGTTGGTCTCCATTTAGACAAATTGGTCTTTACAAAGACCTTTAGACTCTATATGTATATAAATATGTCTGGCCTCCACACAGACCAATTGGTGTTTATAAAAATCTCTGGTCTCTGGCCTCTGGGTGTCCACATAGACCAATTATTCTTTATTAATCCTATTGATTGCTAATTGGTCTTTACAAAGACATTTTGCCCTCTATGTAGACCAATTGGTCTTTATAAATTCCAAGATTATAGTTGTACAAAATAAAATTAAAATCTCTGAAATAAATTAAATCTCCTCGGCCATTTACAAAATACTTTACTTCCTATTTCCCATAAACAATGTTTGTAATTTATAATTATCTTAGCTCTTTAATACCGACTCTTTCGTCACTCTCCTTACAGACAACAGTCTCTACTATCCGATGAACAGGCCAAGGAAGTTGAACAGATCCTATCAGCAGCGCCCACAGTTGGTGTTGCTGTTGCAGCTGTAGTGGCCACAGCCACATCACCGACACACATTAAAAATCTCATAGAAGAGGTCAAACCACAAACACCCTCGCCTCCGGCTGAAACGATTGTTGGTAGTAGCAGCCTTCACGACGACAACGAACAAGAGGAACAAGAACAAGGCGAGGAAGACGACATTGAGAATAGTGAAAATTCAGCTGATGAGGATGAATATACCCTTGAAAGGGAAGACAATGAAATAGAACAGGAGGAACTGGTGCAACAGGAATCATATATTGTTGAGAATGTCACAATTGAACAGCAGCAGCAGCAACAACAACAATATCATCATAGCGTAGTCAATAAACATATTAGTTCAGATGTAGCACATCGTGTGGGAGACGTCGACAAATACGCTGACGATGATGACGATATTGAGGATGTGGATATTGTGGGCATTGGCGCCACATCGGTATGCATAAATTCAACATTTACAACAACAGCAGCAGCATCAGCAACAACATCATCATCGTCTTCGAGCACTGAAGATAAACAGGAACTGGTAGTGACTACACGAACAATAACAACAAAACAGTCAAACATCACTTCCTCCTCCTCGTCGTCGTCGACGCATTCAACCAGTAACAGCAATCTTCAGCATAACCACCACCAAAATAACAGACCGCATGACGATGATGAACCGGAATGGTTGCGTGATGTTTTAGAGGCTCCCAAACGTAGTTTAGAGAATTTGTTAATATCATCAACACAAAGTCATCACAGTGGTAAACAACATTCTGTGGAATCGTTAACATCACCACCAGGAGTAGAGGTTGGTAACACATCAACTAACTCTTCCGCCAATTTATTCGACAACAATGACACAGCGGTTGTAGTTACTACAGCATCCAAGGTTGAAACCACCTATGATGAGACCAATGATAGTACCACAATATACATAGCATCAAACCAAAGAGATACACAGCAACAAGAAGACCTACAACAACAGCAACAACAACGGCAGCATCAACAATCCTTTGAAAGTCAAGATCAGGAAACATCGTTATTAAATCGAACATTCATACAGGATTCCACTGTCAACAGCACAACCAATTCACATTGCCAGTCAACAGCTGAGTCACTGCATGAATCGATTGTCTCTGTTGAATCCACCCAATCGGATGCCACATTCAACAATCAGACAACCACCATTGATGATAGCATCATATCGAGTAAACACAATTCCACATATTCGCTTAATGAACCACAATCGCTGAATACCACCATTACCAGTGTAACTGCCACGGAATTAGATGAGTCGCAGTATTACATACCGGAATATCCGCCAGTGCGTAGCAAAGAGGTCTATGTGGAATCGGGTGTGCATTACTTTGAGGATGGCAATTTTTGGATGGAAGTACCTGGTAAGAGGAAAAAATAAACTTTTATAGATTTGCCATTGCAATGTATGGTTAACTTTTCCCCCATTTATTCCCTAGGTCTCTTAGACTTCGATGACGATGAACTTTCATATCCACCAATACCGGTTAAGAAAAATCCCAAAGTCCGCTTTAGCCTAGGACCGATACAAGTATTTTCCACATTCTCTGTCAGTGATTATGATCGTCGCAACGAAGATGTTGATCCGGTGGCTGCCTCAGCTGAATATGAACTGGAGAAACGTGTTGAGAAAATGCACGTTTTCCCCGTTGAACTTATGAAGGGTCCTGAAGGTTTGGGACTTAGTATTATTGGCATGGGCGTTGGTGCCGATGCCGGTCTAGAAAAATTAGGTATTTTCGTCAAAACCATAACAGATAATGGTGCTGCAGCACGCGACGGTCGCATACAGGTGAGTTGAAATTTTCAAGTTTTAAGATGTGGACAAACTTCAATTAAAACTTAAAAATTTGCTCAGGTCAATGATCAAATCATCGAAGTCGATGGTAAAAGTTTAGTGGGCGTAACACAGGCATATGCTGCATCCGTATTACGCAATACCTCGGGACTAGTCAAATTTCAAATAGGACGTGAAAGAGATCCGGAAAATAGTGAAGTTGCTCAGTTGATACGTCTGAGCTTGCAGGCCGACAAAGAAAAAGAAGAACGTCTTAAGAGGTATGCAACGAAGCAAAGAAATGCAAATGACAATTTTTAATTATTCAATATACATTTTTAGACAACAAGAAGAGTACCTGCGCCGTACTCTAGACTATTCAGAAGATTCTACCCAACCCGTCTCAGCCAATTCTAGTGTTTGTGAGGGACCCACCAGTCCCGTTCAAGTTGAACATCCAATGGAGGTTGAGGCCACACACTCCCAGGAGGTAGAGTCTCTGAAGAGACTGCTACAGGAGGTAAGTTGAAATTTATTTTTTGACAAACGGCTTGTTCTAAATAAGTAATTTTCAAATTATCTCTTATATTTATTTTGTGGCATAACAATATATTTGGAATTGGACACTTGCTTTACCCAGCATAAAGCGGTAATTAATAAAAAATAAATACAAAACTAAACGAGGAAGTCTTGTCTAAACTTGCATTTCCATTCAGCACTTTATATATATATTTTTCCTAGTGTTTTTGATTTATATATTATTTTTTCTTTTGTTTGAAGTGCACTGATCAGCGAAATGAAGATAAGTTTATTGTTCGGTAGGCAGGATTTAACCTATGGAAGGTGGTCAATCCATATAAAATATTAAAAAACTAAAATGGATCTTTTCCATTTATAGAAGACATGTAGGAACTTTTCCATGTATTGATGCCCTGTAGAATTCTTTCCGCAGATTATTGAACAATATTTCATAAATGCGATGCATTATGTCTGCAATCAATGCAATTGTAGACCATTAAGAAGAATTCGTATATGATATTTTCTCTTTTCATCTTATGTTATGTTCCGCATATTCAAAACACAACTTATGACTATATAATCGTTATAACGCCCTTCCAATGTGTTCTATCATTACAAGAACTACACAAAATTCCTGTTTTTGAAAATGTTTTCAAATGTCCTAACATAGAACTTTTATAAATAAAAGAGTTTCCACTTAAGAAGATTTATCCCTTTAAAATATAGTAGAAGTTTTGGACATCTTCTATAATTTTAATGATCTTTCTGTAACAAAAACCCTAAAGTTGGAATATGAAATATGTTAATCAGAAAGTATTCTAAAATATGTACTACATAGCCTCTGGAAGACCTCTAAAATAATCGAAATATTGTCCTATTCATTTAGGGTTTCGCCAATCAGTGTAGTTTATTTTATGATTTAGTTGAATTATTCTAATCGCAAATCACTTTTTCGAATTATTTGTTTATTTTCCATTTTTGTTTAATTTTGCCTTGTTTTTTTATTTGTTTTAGAGTGAAATGAGTTGCCTTCTAAAAGAGGACATAATTGAAAACCTAAAAAGAAAGGTGGGTGTTTAATTATGTTCGCTATTTCTAATTCTATATCTATATTTATTTATGAGTTTTCACATTTTTGTTTTACATTTTTCCATATACACTCAACACACTTGAGGAGTACACAAATTAACCACGTTTATTTCACATATTGCAGCTTGTAAAACTCGAGACAACCGGCAATGAAAATGAACTGCTTAGTGAACGTTTACGCCAGAGCGAACGTGAACTGGTCAACATTAAAAAAGAGGCTTCCAATTTACAAAATATGTTACAACAATCCCAGGCCCAGTATATGGCCTTGGATAAAAAGTACAACAAAGCCAAACGGCTTGTACGTGAATATCAACAACGTGAAATAGATATGTGCCATCGTGAGGAATTCTATCAACAATTATTGCAAGAAAAGGATACCGAATATAATGCTTTGGTTAAGAAGCTAAAAGATCGTGTCATAAATTTGGAACATGAGCTGCAGGAAACTCAGCGTAAGGCCGGTTTCCCTGTCGGATTACCATATGACAGTGCCACACTGAAGTTGACACCACAAATGATGCGTAAAACACCTCCGAAGCCATTATTCCAAAAACTTGAAACCGAATTATCTGATACAGAAATATCAGATTTATCACCCGACGGTGATGGTGTTAAGACTGCCACAGTAGAGCGTAAAAATCCCGTGAAAGATGAATTAGATGCTGCTGTTCCACAACACGAACTCTTAGATAATTCAGCCAATAAAACAAAAAGTGATTTGGGTAAGTTCAGTTCAGTGTGTTGAAAAAGAGTTTGTTTTAAAATTTTGTTTCCCTCAACCGAAAAGAAAATTAGTTACAATCCTTCTTTAAATTATTCGTCTACCTATGCTTTGCATTTTCCTATAAAATTGTATTTTTTCTCTCTCTATCTTCAAAAATTGTTCAATCTCAGAAAAGAGCGGAACATAATTTAAAATCAATTTACATATGTAAATACCTTAAAGGTATAATAAGGACATGAATTTCTTTATAAGTCTTCAAAATCATGTATGTCTATTTCCTGCCAGCCGGTTGAAAATTCTTGAAATTTTAAATGCAGAATGTTGGGGATCCCCAAATTTAAAATTAATAATATATTTTAATACCAAAAAATTACCGCTCTTTTTCCAATTGAACAGTTTTCGTAATGCACCCATATACTTTCCCTCACGTTTCTTTCCATAACACAGCCACACATCTGTTTCAAAGAAAATAATAACTGAACATTAAATTAATTGTTTTTAGAGCACCACGATCGCTTTCTAATAATCCTCCTTTAGATCTCTTCACTCTACTTTCGTAAACTTAACACAATACAAACAAAAAAAAATATTCCATCAATTGTCCTCTTTTTCTTAATGAATGAAGCACAGCACAAAGTACTACAGAAACAAATCATACTCGTAAACTGACATGAAGAAAAATAAAATAAAAAATATATAGGAATGAATTAGTGAAATGTTTCAAATTGTAGCCAGATCAATATGAGAAAAAAAATTTTAATAATAATGCTACCATTCCTGGGATGTTTGGTCAAGTCTCTATATAACGTTACCGACCTACTTGCAGAAGATAATGTTATGTGGCATTCCGGGTTGACATGTCCCCTCTATATTTCTTAGCAAAATTTGACTGTAATTTAGTATTTCATTTTCTCCAAGGATACAAAATTTTCTGTCAGCCACTTTACATATAAATGTCCCGACCAATTTCAGGTACTATAAATGCTCACCTTGTGGTGAAGGGTGTAAGAAATGCTCCATATGTATTCGTCTTGAATTTAGTTAATTATTGAAAATGTCTATTGTGGGGATAATTTCTATCCAAACTATGATAATTTAATTTCATACATTTTCTAAATAAATTTTAAGGCAAAATCACTTTACAAGTATGATTTTATTCTGTAACACCACTGTGCAATTAGTATGACTTCTTCGAGTTATAAAAGATATTTTTTTCCCGAAATTTAGTTCTCTTTTAGATGTCTACAAAATTACAATGAAACATTCTTGTTTTTTATTTTCTTTTATTTTTATGTAAACAAATAAATCAAATACAAACTCGAATTAATTTTAATTTAAAAAAACGACAATTTTCTATCGAATTCGTACTGTTTGAACGTCCAACATTTGCTGCCATAAATATATGTTTTCTGTGCGTCCAAAACATATTATAATAATACAAAAAAAAAAAAAACAAAACGCAAATTAAATTGAATGTGATGAAATCCAATCACTTGTGTGAAAATATTTCATACCAAACGCACTATATTCGTTTTTTGTATGTGTGTATGTTTGCTGTCCCATACTGTGCTGTACATTGAACTGATGTAATTTATGTTTTGTATATGTTTGCTAATGCGATCGAAACGAAATCAAACCAAAAAACAAACAAAAAAAACATCCATGCTCATGTCATGTAAAAATTCTCATCAAATCTAAAATCCCAAACAAATCTTCATAATTCGACCGAACCCGACATGATATTATTTTACTGCTGCTGGCTGCTACGCTTATCTTATTTTGCTCTATATCTCGAAATCATCATTACTTTTCAATACAAATCAAATCATATATGAAATTCGCAAATATAACAATAAAGCTTCCCGTGGTGGTTTAGCTAATCGTCAACTGCCATCTGGTAATAATTCCAATACAAGTTCGAGTGCATCGAATACCACAACCGCTGTAACAATTGCCGCCGGTAACAGCACCAATAATTTATCGAAGCGTACACTGAGCAACAGTAGTTCCGATTGTGCCCTGGAAGATGCCGAAGATGATCCCGCCCTGCATAACCAAGGAACCTTGCCGGCCGGTCTTATGGGTAACATTAATAACACTAACCATGTCCATCACGCTCACACAAACAACACTACCAGCACGTCAGCGTCCAATCATGAACTAAACCTTTCCAATGGTATACATCATCATCACCAACACCACCTCCAAAGTAATCTCATCAGTAACGGGCATCATTTTAACAATGCAATTAATGTCGCTAGCAATGGTGTTGGTAGCAATGGCAATGGTAGTGCTGCTGTCATAGCTGGTACCACCACTGCCATCTTGCTCAATTCAACCTCGTCAACATCATCCGCATCCTCGGCTAATTCGCGGGAACAACAAATCAATCAGTTGTATGCCCAAGTTCATAAAGATCATAAGACATCTGCTTCGCATACCGGTTTGCCGGGTCTCTTTAAGAATTCGCTCGGTTCGCCGGGTGGTGAGGCGACCACAACAACAATAATAACAACCACAAACACCAACAATACCACAACAGCTAGCCCCAATGATTTTCATCGTGGTGGCATGACAACATTCGGTACTAGCAATCGTGATCTCAATAGTTCGTATGATTCAATTTTAGGCTCAAACGATAAACTCTCCGAGAATGAGCATTCATCCGATAATTGGATGTATCCGAGTCGGCGACGTGTTGGACCCACAGGAGCAATAATTGGTGGTAAAATGCCGCCGTCATCGTTTACCGAACAGCTAAATCAAGCATTGTCGGAAAGAGAAAGGTAAGTGAAATTATATATATATATATATATATATAAGATTTGGTACTAGTATTATAGAGTATTCCGTGTATGTAGTCTCTTCGGGAAGTCTAAAGAGATACCAAAGATTATAAATTAATTGTGTCTGATTATTGAAAGCCAAAAAAAAAAAAAAAAAAACGGATAATATTTGTTATACCATCCACCAGAAGTTGATGTTGTTTTTTTAAAATTGTGATTCCATTCCCTACAGCTTGAAATATATGTCGGAAACTCCATAAAGTATATATATTCTTGATCAGAATGAAATTCTATGTCAATTTTCGAAAACATCCCTACTAGACCTAGATTAATTGCTATTGAAAATGGGAAAATGGGACACATTACTTATCCGCTTTATTTTGGATTATTAATGAGTATCACGTTTAGCCCCCATATAACAGCACCTCCAATTTTCGATATTTTGAGACAAGTTTTTTTATTATTTTCGGCTTAATTTTAATATTTTGGATTCTCAGTGTGTAGCAAATCTTCTTATCAGACATTATCAATATCGGCTGACCCAACCAAAGGTCTTTAATTTAGTATTTTGGATTCTTGTATGGTAATAGACATTTGTGCACAAAATAGTTAATGTGGGTAAATTTGTTACATACATCCAATATGAAGCAACATTTTCAATGTAGGTTCTTGTTTCGACATGACCACCATATAAAGATCCATCCGTGTTCGGTAAGCTAAAGGTCAACTTGTAATTTTTCAATCCGCCGTTTGGTTTTGTTATCAGAGATGATAATAATCCTACCGGATCCATGTTTTACCATTTATAGATTCCGACTGATTTTAGATATTTTGAATGCCCATCTGATTGTGAAGGATATACAAATTTTGGCCTGCCCATATTTTAAAGACGTTTTTACTTGTTTTTAAAACTTATTTTTAACTGCAATAAATTTATTATTAATTTTTTTATATTATGTAAATAATAATTACTAATCAGTGTATATTTGTTTCCCTCTTTATTATTCCAGACGTTTGGGCGATGGCTCATCACGACATTCCAGCGATGATTATACCGAAATAAATAAAAGTCAATCGGCGGCAGCTATTAATTGCAAAACACTAATAAATGAAATACGACAAGCTGTAAATGAGGCTCAACCAAAAGGTGACACACCCTGTTACTTTTCTAAACAAATTAAAAAAACCAAAATTAAAAATAAAAAGCAATCAGTCTCATACACTTATATATAGAATCACTTCAAAAAAAAAATGCAACAAAAATGTTAAAAAACAAACATATAAATTAGCACTAAAAATAAAATTAAAAAACCAAACCTGCATATATAGTAGTTCTCCCATCCCGAACTAACCAATAACCATTCGTTTTATTTAGGAACATCACTCACAAAATACACATTCATCAAAAGCAATAACATATTAAATAAAAAAACATGCTTTGGTTTTTTATTATTTTCATTCATCTTCTTTTTGTTTTCCTTTGTCAATTCCCTACATCAGAGACAAATTGATGCATAATATATGTAATTAGCTGAGTTTTACATTTTATTGGTGTGTTGTAATTTATAAATTATAAAATTTAAATAGCTAATTATTTAGTAATTAATGCCTGCATTTGATTGATTAAATATTACAATTACAATAAGGGAAAATAACTCCATAATGAATTCCATTGGAAATTCATTCCGGAGTTTTCCCCATAAACTTTAAACATAGTTGTTGTTAACAATCACTTTTTTGTTATTGTATAATATTGTTAAATATAGTACATACATATACATATATAATAAGTAACCTTTCTAAATAATAATTATGTATAATAATTAATGGTTGATATGTGTGTTTCTCTCCTTTTTTTCTTATTCTATTCCCAATATCTATTTTTAAATTTACAAAATAACATGCCTTTGCCTGCAAAAAACTGAAACGATCTGGTGGTAACTTAATACTAACCTCTTACTATTATAAATATATTATATTAAATACAACATTATCTCGTTGTTAAAAAATAAACTTTAGTTAAACAAGTTATTCCTCAATCTTTATCTCCGCCTGGTACAGTACCGTGGCAACAGCAAACATCATCATCACACAGTAATGGTCCTCCATCGCCGACCAGCATGTCATCGGGCTGTTCATCACCCGGTTATTCACCTAGTCGTGGCTTGGATTTATCTGGTTCAAGTTCAAGTTTTTCAGATCGTAAGGCAGCTGTTTATAATTATAAAGGGGGACCAGTACATGAATGGACCAAAGAACAGGTATGTAGAACTTAATCAATTACGCGATTATTGCAAAAATACTAATATCTGAGGAAATTTTCTTTAATATATCAGAATTTTTTCATATTGGAACAAGTCATTCACTGTGGCTAATGATTTTTCTAATTGGAAATATTCTTTCACAATGGCTTTGAGTTGTTTATTTATTGGACAACGACATTCTCTGAGGATTTTTTCTGCTAGAAAAGATTTTTTTCAATGACTGAGGATTATTTTTCTTATAGGAAATTGCATGCCTTTTTGACTGATAATTTTTTACCCATTTGAAAACGAGTTGTTGTTGAATGAAATTTCTTTCCATTGAATGAAGTCTTTTTCAATACCTAAAGAGTTTTTCCCATTTATGTCCGTAACAGATGAACTTTTCGAATTGGTTTTCCTTAATGACCTAGAAATTGTTTCCATCTTCTAGGAAAATTTCTTCCTCAGTAATCGTCTGTCTTCCTAAAATTCACACTCAGTGTTCTTAAATAAACCACGCTTAGAGATCTAACAGTACTTCAAAATTATAATCTTTCAAATATCTCCTATATATTCCAATAAAAATTAAACTCAGATTTCCGACAGCTCTTCAACATATATTCTTAAAAAATCACGTTTAAAATTCATAAAGTCCTTCAAAAAATATATTCTTGAAAAGTTCACTTTTATAGTTCTGTCACAGACTTTGAGTTCTGTTAGTTCTTCAAAATATACACTTAAAAAATGCATGCGTAAATTTCAGAGAGTCCTTTAAAATGTATTCTTAAACAATTCATGTTTATGGTTCTGAGAGTCCTTTAAAATAAAAAAATGATGATCTGCGCTAAAGTCCTTTATAATATATTCTTACAAATCAATGCTTAAAGATCTAATGTATTCGCTGACAGCCCTTCAAATATATTTCTAAAAAACCTAGACTTAGATCTTCCAATATATTCCTTAAAACACGTTCAAAGCTCTGACAGTCCCTCGAAACATGTCTTGGACATGTCATTAAAAATATATTCATAAAAAAATTCACGATTTTACCTCCGACAGTCTTCAAAAAATCAAGAACTATAACATAAAATTATCTAAAAAATATTCTTTACAAATCTATAAAAAAAAACGCACACACACACATAGAGCTCAGTTAGTCCTTTGAACTGAAATATTCTCAAAATGTAATCACTAACTATCTTCTTTTTATTTTCCCCCAATAGGTTGGCCACTGGCTTTTAGGCATTGAGATGGAACGTTATATACCAGCCTTCAAGGAGCACAATGTTGAAGGTGGTGCTTTGTTATCATTGGATTCGAAAGACTTAAAAACGCTGGGTGTTACTGGCGATGATAAACATCGTTTGAAACGACGTCTCAAAGATCTCAAGGCCAGCATAGAAAAGGAGCGCAAAGACCAAGAGAGAGAAAGACGTGAACGTGAGAAAGCTATACGTAAAGCAGAGAAAAAGGCGGCCAAAAAGAAATAAATGTCAGATAGTAAAAAGCAACACACAAGAAATTTTAAACCTACAAATAAACAATTTCTAAGATAATTTACAAAAAAAAGAAAACAAACAGAAAAATACATAACTTTAGTATTAGCTTTTTTAAAATTATTACTATAATAATTATTATATTCAGATATAAATAGAAATAAATGAAAACTATTTGTTAAGCTCTACCAAAAACAACAACAACAACTGCAACACTTAGGAAAAATACACTTAACCAACCAAGAAACCAAAATATGTAAGGTTAACACCATTATACACACACATACACACACAAACATACAAAAGTAAAACACACCTGGCATAAATTATTTTAAATGAATTATAATTTATATATAGTACGTACGTGTATGAATTATTTATTATTAATTTATAAAATTAATATACAATTTAATTAATAAGCATTTTAAATGTAATTTTTAATATTTTTATATATATTATAAAGTAACTAGTTTTATATATATGTCTGTTATAACTATATATTTTATTTAAACATTTTTTTTAGCAATCAACAAAAATCTGTCCATGCTATCGCCCGTCATTGAATTTTACATTTATTTTAAGGACACATACACACGAACATGAATTGAATTATACATAATATTATTTTATAAAGTAAAACTCTGAGAAAGTGAGAATTTCCTCTAATACAGTCTTTAGATTTTCTCCGATATCACTGTCCTATACCTTTCCCAGAATATTAGGAAAGATTAGTAATATATCACAATTCAAGACCTCATACAGAAGTCAGTGTTTTGGAATAGGAAATTTGTTACTTTTTTCAGTCACTGCACGCACCATTGTTCTTGGCTCTCATACACTTTCTTAACAATAGATAACTATAGAACTTAATGAGAGCCCTTCAACATTCAATTTTGATATTTCATTGATTTAACAGACTTGTAGTGGATTTAAAAAAAAACTCTCAGAGAACTAGTTTACATTTTAAATCAACCGAAAAGTAAAAAAAAAAACACATAGTAATTCACCAAACTAGGGACTTCAACTATAGATAAGACTTTTATTAAGATTCACAAAATGATTTGTTAGCAAAATTCTAATTATGTGTTTCAAAATATATTGAAATGCTTTAAAATTGTATTTGTAAATATGAACATTTTAAGTATCTATTCTTATGGCCTTTAAAAGGTCAAAAAGTGTATTCCATAAGCATTTGTTATTTCTTATATGATTTTTTTAATATATAAATAAATTATTTGTTGAAGTCCTTTCAATCGCACAGTAGATTCTGAAACATAACACAAACATATATATATATACATTTTTCTTCTAATCTTATTATGAAACTTATTTTATTTCAAACTGAATTTTTTGTATTATTTCCATTTTTATTTTTTTCTCATTAATTCTATTTATAATGTGTTGCAATTTATTATTTTTTTCATTAGTTTTATTTTTTTTTTCTTATTCAAATATTTGTTTTGTTTTTAGTATTAAGTGTTGGTTTTACAAACGAAAGAAAGAAAGAAAAAATAATTATTAAAATTGAAAAGAAACAAGAAAATACATATTTGTTTTAATTTTTTTCTAAACTGTTTTCTATTTTTTGGAACTCAAAGCTGACTGATTTTTCATTAGTTGTTGTATAGAAAATCAAACCAAAAATATTAAAAATAAAAAAACTGAGTATAGAACACAAATTATTACTCTAATTAAAATAAGATTTCAATGGAAATAAAATTAATAATTTAACCTATATAATAATTATAGTAAATTAAATTGTAATTATAAATTTTTGAACCAAAGTAAACAATAAGAAAACAAAAATAATTGTGTCTCAAAAACAAAATATAAGTTATTAATTCGAAACATATTTTTCACATATTTCGGATTTATTGATATGAGTATATTTTTTATTCTTTTGAATTAACTCGATCGAAATTGTCCAGTGGCAGATTTCCCAATTTGTATTATAAACTAAAATGTAACATTTTATTCCATCCTGTAATTAGTATATGTGGAAAGCGATGCGCAAATCAGAAAAACAAATTTTATGACATAATTGTTTCTGCTGTTAACAGAAATATGTTCCATATTTTTACTGCACTTGTCGTCAACAGCCGTTTGATGGTATGCCATTTAGTTTCCGAAGAGGAGGGAGAATATCGCAACAATTTGAGTTAGAGCAAAGATGTTTCAAAAACAATTCTAGTACTTGTTGCAAAAAAAAAAAAAAAAAAATATATATATATATATATATTATATATTATTTTTGAATACATATATATATATATATGTAATACATATATATATATATATATATATGTATATATATATATATATAATTAGTTATTAATTTTCAAATCTCCTTGGCCGATTTTTTAATTTTCGGAGGTCTATTGAATAAAACACAAGTTTTAACATGTAATTTATACAAAATATACGTTTTTATCAAAGAGATGACCATTATTGGAGGGGTACCAGAATATGTTGCCCTATAAACCACATCTTAGTATTTTATGTAGGTTTGGAAAAATATTACGATTTGTGAAGCTTGGATCAAATCAGACATTTCATTATCTTCAGATTGGATTAACACCAGAAGGAATTTATCGGAGCACAAGCTCCGTACAAGATTTAAATGTTTTCAAATTTTTAATTCTCTGTGACACTATTTAATCCAATATACAGGCGTGATTAAAATATTAGGATATGCAATGTTTTTTTTTCTTTTTTTTTTAATTCGGATTTCATAATATAAAATCGGTTCGCATAATATAAAATTAATATTCATCAGAATACCATTTGTGTCAGAGGTACTGAAAGGACAGAAAAAATGTTAAGATCAAATCGAACATTCCATTCGCTTGGTATTGTATTAACAAATTTTAAAAATGTTGACCCTTTAAGGGGGATGTACCCGAAGGAGTGAACTAATGGGTTCTATCTTCGGACCAAAAGAAAAGGACCGATATTCCTCATCTTCGAACTAATACTAAGTCTGGAAGAAATATTACGATGTGCAGAGTTCGGATAAATTTGTTTACTCTTACGAGAGTCATCATGTGCAGCTGACAGTCAGAGGGACTGACGAATATTTATAAATCGACTCTAAATTGTCTGAAACGAATTATATTATGAATGAACATATCATATTTAGGCTTCCTAGGGAAACCAAGTTTAAAAAAAAGACCTTCCAAATGTTTTTTTATACTTAAACACTTTAAGCATTTCATATATGACACTTTTCTATAACGCTTTCCTTATGAAAGGTGTGTTTTTAATATAGAAAATCGATATAACTTCTTCTTTTCTATATTGTTATAAACGTTGAAATAGCTCAATATAAAATAAATTCAATAGATGGAAAACAATATATAGATATCATCGCTAAATAAATGTATTTCTGAATATCTTTCTTTACGCCTTCACCTTTACCTTAATTACTTTTCTTAATTCATATTCATCAGGTAGATAAACTTCTATAATTAATACATCTTCTGTAAATGTGTTTTATGCGTTGAATAAATATTTTAATTTTTACAAATAGATTTTTAGAAACTTCGATTTACTGCTAAAAGAAGTCAGAATTTGTAATGGATCAAATTAATATAATGAAGCTGGAAGATGATAAATTTATGCAACAAACAATATATATTAAAAAAAATCTTTCAAATTGTTTGAAAAATTCTCTTCTCAGAATAATAAATCTGAACTTTCATTTAACAACTGGATTTATTAACATAAATTATGTTATGGATTTTTAAATATTTACTGGGTTCTTTATAAAAACCTTCTCGTCCTAAATGCATTATTAAAGATTTTTTTCAGAAATGTCATTCTCTCCCATATCTTTTGTGTTTCTAAAAATAAATCCACCTTTCTGCAAATTTAAAAACTGCCAGTCTTACCAAAAAATAAAAATAATTTTTAAATTAATTTCATCTCAAAATAAATATTGTTTGTATTGCATAGCCCTTATCATCGCACCAGAAAACTATATAACAATTTTATTTTCCTTAGTTTATAAAAAATATTTCTATTTCCTCAATTTTGTAAAAAAAAATCCAAATCCCCTTAGTTCATTAGTTAGATATGCACTCGCCAAAATAAAATCAAAGAAGCTACCATACCAAAGGTGAATTGGATTTTCGATTCCTTTTCAAGATCCCGTAAATGGTTTGGCATCTTTGATGGGCTGAGTAATTTCACCACTTGTGCATTATGTTAACTTTAACTGATCGATTTATTTAACATAACATCGACTGTTATGTTGGCGCCTGTGTAGTTTATGCTATACACCAACAGATGGCGATGTTTTAAATCGATCAGAATCTACGCTTTATGAAAGCTAGCCTAAATATAGTGCCATAAATAACAACAAATCCAAAATTAATTTAATTTTATTTTTTTATGAAAAAGAAAACCAACAATAATATTTATTACACATACACGTACTCTTACACTACAACAAAAATAATTTATACATAATTATGTCGAAATGGACAAAAGGCTATCAAAAACCAAATTTTTCGAAAAGCCTTCTCCTGATGATGCAACTAATTTTCCCGATCAAAACAAATACCAAAATCAAAGTATACTTTTGGTAAATATAAACAGAAAAAAAACCTTAATTTCAAATGCCTTAGCATCTGCCTAAAAAATAAACACAAACAACAACAACATAATTATATTGTAGAAAAAAAACAATGCTTTATTAAACTTTTTTTATTAAATGATGCATACAATTTTTCAAAAACAAAAAATGTTTGTAAAAAAGTAATTTCTTATGAAAGTATGTTTCAAACTAGAATAACATAAACTAAATTTTGTAATCTGGTTTGAAATATTGTTCTTGAAACAACTGACTTTGTTGCAGCATTTTCTTGACACACACACCGCTGTGTGTTTGTATGTATATCACATAATAATAAAAAAAATAGAAATGATAAAATTTCGATCCTTGAACTCTCACCTAATCACAGTTATGCCTTCAATTTCAAAGGAAATCAAATACCGAAATTA